GTTTCAATCTAAATAATGAATTAAAGACTAGGGTTTTTGTTTCCCATTCCCCATAGAGGACAAGATGAAAGTAAACAATTTCCAGCAGCACTAGAGAGAATAGATCATTTCCCCAGATCCCCCCTTTCCTACCCTGGCTTGTTCTGTGCCAAGAGGGTGAGGGGGATGTGCCTGGAGCAGGGGCGCTTTCGGAGCCAGAACAAGGCTGCCTGTTGGCCCGGTCCCAGGCCACTGCTCCTGGTTTGTAGTCAGTGGGAGAAAAGGCAGGGAAAGGGGGGCAGTTTACCGGGGAGAAGTTTGCAGCCTGATTCTGAGATAGGCCCCATGCTATCTGGGTACAGGGGTGCGGGTAGATCCATTCAGGCTGGCCTAGGGTGCCCCCAAACAAACTGTGCGGCTGCCTTTCCTGAATGGAGCACAACAGGCCCAAGGCAGCCAAAAACCCGCTTTGTCCAAATTATCTGAGCCTCCTCAAAAAGTGCATTTTCCGGTTTCCATTCCTGGTGTTTCCAGAATCTTGGATGGTTTTGCTCTGGCTGTAGAGGCCCTTCCTGCCCCCACCCCCACCCCACCCCCCGGCCAGGGGAGGCCCCACCCACCTCTAGGGGCATGGCATCCCTTAGCTTCCAGGCACTGCTGCTGCCTAGTCCACTCTACAGCTCCCTTCTCTACCCAGGAGTCTGGCCACTACCTTCTTGTGGCCTTCCAGAAGCAGCGATTGCGGGACAAGACGGAAATCTCAGGGATGGGAAATTGGCCTCTTTCTATTCTGACCAAGGCTAAATGATAAAATGCCAGGGATTCGGCAAACTAATTGTGGCTCTATTTGTGGCCTGTTAAGTTTCCTTTTCTCACCCCGTCTGCAGATTTGCAGTAGTGAAATGGATGCTGGAACACTTGGTAATTACTCAGTAAGTTTTGTCAGTGATTCGCACTAACTGCATAGTTATCCAAATCAGCTTGGGCCTAGGTGTCCAGGGTCTGGGCTCTATGGCAAATAGGGTTTAAAAAAGAGAGAGTGACAGTAGCCTGGGTCTTAAAAAATACAACTTCTCCTGCCTTTTGGTATTTTACTCTTGGCAGGTATTGGGCCAGTTGCAAAACCTGTGCCAGGCTGGGAAAATTATTTTGTTTCCTTAAAAGAATTTTTAATACTGTGTATGTTAGTGAGGGACTGTACACATTTTTGTGTTTTTCCTCAAAAAGTCCACAAGGCCTCAATTGACAAGACTTGTTTTGTGGCAGCTTTGGAAACCCCACATTTCACTTTTTCATTATTAGAAGCAGTCATTTTCCTTGGTTAATTTTTCTTTTTTTCTCCCCATCCTAGAGCCTTTTTTCTATCTATTCTTTTCCTTACTTATTTTCCTTCTGTGCCCTCTTCTTTCCCAGTGTCTTTATCTTTCTTTCTTATTTATTTATTTTTTGCAGTAATGGTCCGGGTTTGATTTTTGATTCCACTTCTTTTTCCCCTCCTCCATGTTTCTCTTTCTTTGTGGCTTGTTTACGGGCTTTTTTGTTTTTGTTTTTGTTTTTTGTGGGGAGGACAAATTTCTTCTAGTGATGGCTGAAACTGGTATGGATATTTATTTGAAAAACTGTTTCAGTGAAAACTTTTTAAAAACCAAATTCTGTAGTCTCAAGAATAAAAGAGAGACCTTTCATTCACAAAGGCACAAACATTTTCACAAACCAAAATCCCATGTGAATTTCAAAGGTTGTATTTCTGGCTTCTCGATTTTTCTGTCACTAGGGGAAGTACCTTCCCCCCAGTTTTTCCTGGTTTTTCTTTCTTTCCCCTTGTCTTTAATTTTCCTTTTTGCTCGCTGTTAGCACCGCTGGCTTCCTTTCCCCTGTGTGTTTTCGCTTATTCCTTTCCCTTCACCTCCTTTTCCTCGGTGGCTTGCTTGTCCCCTCAATTCTGGCCCAAGACTCAGACCTGGAGAAACCTCGAATCCTTCCTTAGGGCCTTTGGTCTTGGCTCTGGTCCTGTGTGCAAGGTGCCGCCGGGCAGTCTGACCTGCAGGGGGGCGGATGGGAAAAGGAAGGAGGCCCGGACCGGGACAGGTAATCTTCCAACAGGAACCTGGACGCTCTCCGAACAAAAGGGGGACAGTTCCCTTTTGTCTGGGGCTTCTGAGGGGCGTGTCCAGGCTGTCCACTGATACCGGTGGCCTAGGGGGCAGGAAGAGGAGGGGGTGCAGTGCCTGTAGTGTTTCTAAAGGACCCTGAGCAACCCTAATGGGGGAAGTACCCTAATGGGGGAGAGGTAATCTGCCTTCTCTACCCTAGTACGGGATGTCTGAATGCCCGGCAGCCCTTCTGGGGAAGGTTTGGGCTGGGGGACCAGCAGCCTTGCCCCTGGGGCAGAGGGAGAGCAAGACCCCTGGGTCCTTGCCCACCTTCAGGGTTACAGCCCCTGTATAGGGAAGGACAGCTGATGATTTTTCTCCCCAAGGGCTCTGTGTGAGTCCCTGAGGCCTCCAGAAACTCCTCTGCTCCTCACCCAGATCTCTGGGTTCCTCCTTGGTCCTTTGATCCCTTCCCTCTTCCTGCCGAGAGAATCCTGCACCTCACCAGGTTCCCTTAATGTCTTCGTGCCCTTCCTTCACCATCTCCCAGCTGTGGGACTGTTGCCCTGCTCACCACCCGGCAGAGTCAACCCGTGCAGAGCACATCTCTTCCACCACCGCCGAGGTCTGAGAGGGAACGTCCCAGCGTTTGCCAGGAGGCTCATTTTGGCCATTTTCAGTTCAGTGTCTAATATTTAGCATAATCAGAATACCAGAAAGACACCCCCCCCCCCGCGCCAAATACAAAGACACTTACAGTTTTTATGGCCTCATCTTGACTTTAGAAAGTCAGATTGCTTCCTCAAGGTGGGGAGGCAGGACTTGGTACCTTGTGCTGCTATGCTAACATCTTTGGCTGCTTGGACCAAAGCGGGTTATTAACAGGACGTGAATTATTGAACACCACCCTGAGAGGCCTGTGGGTGACAGCACCTGCTTCCTGCACCATCACTTCTGTCTCTCAGGGTCAGCCTTGGGCTCACATCACTGAGATGACCATTCCCACGCGCTGGGCAGTGTCTCTCCCATTGACAGGGCACAGTGCTGGCCCAGGGCTGGAGGTGGTTTTGACTCACCCCAGGCACTCCTCGGAGAATCTGTAACCTGCATGCTGACTGAATGAAAAGGCCTCACAATGCAGGGTTTGGAGGGGAAGAAAGGGGTGAATGAACAGTGACCTTTTTTCCTTTGCCAGCTGAGAGCTGGGCCCCGGGAAAGGGTTCTAGTGGGATCAGGTTGCTCTCTCTGTCTGTGTTACCATCCTTCTGTCCTGCTTTTCCTTTCGTTTTGTACCTGGCTCCTCTGTACTGCTCTCCCCAGGCCTTAAGGCTTGGCTGCTCCATACCCCTAACTGAAGGGGTCCCCCAAAGATTTGGGGTGCCTCTTCCTCAGTGCTCAGCCTCCCTGCCAGCTGGGAGGAAAGCCCAAGCTAGAGCCCTGGGGCGGGGAGGCTCTCCCCTGTTGCTGCTTGGATCCTGACTTGATTTCCTCAGGTGTCCTATCTTTCCTGCTAGAGCCTCTGCTTCCCATGTGGTCGTGTCTTAGCTCTCTCTTTCACTGGGCTTCTACTTTATGTTTTTGTAGCTTGCATTTTATTTTGGGCCCCTTAGTCTGGATTGATTTGGGGGACAGGACAGGTAACTACCCTCAGATCAAATGGAGAGGGCAAACCTAGAGAAGGCAAAGAATTAAACATTTGGATGGAGGGGCCAGGGGGCATCAGAAACTGATGTCTCTGTTGAGAGGTAGTGTCCATCTTTCCGCCTTTGTCACTTCTCCCCAGTGCTGGCTGTTGTGTTTGTGGCTGCGTATAGTGCTTGTCAGCACAGTGCTGTGACAGGAGGCTATTTTAATAAACTGTTGCAGTTTCGCGAGTCGAGCTGCATTGCGTTGGCATCCCTCGTCACCACTAATGGAGTGTGCATGGCTGGGTGTGGGCCGAGGAAGGCTGCCGAGCCTGCTGGGAGTGGGGAGAAGGGGAGGAGGTTCAGGGTGCTGCGCCCTCTGTCCAGGAGTGTCCCCACCTCCTGAGGGTTGGCCGCACCCTGGGTGCTCAGACCCTGCCCTGGAAGTGCTGCTGGCATGGGCACTTTCTGAGCCCCCTTTCTTCTTATTTCTATTCATAGCACTGCAGGCTCTGTGTATGGCTAGAGAGAAAACTTCCACTCTCCCCTGTGTGCTCCATAAATTTTTTTTAAAAAAGGAAAAGAAAAGAACTAGAACCAGAAAAAGAAAGAGTGTGCTGGCCGAGAGAAAGACGGAAACCAAAACACAGAGAGAAGGCACAGCTGCTTTCCCCAAGGCCTTCTGGGGCTCCCGCCCGCCAGCCTGCCCGGAGTCAGGCCTTTATTTATTTATTTTTCTGGCTTAAAAAAAAATTCCGCGTCTTCCTCAATCCCAGCCCCCCCCCCACTGTACCCCACCCCCAAATTTGCTGGGTGACTGCTGCCAAATGGACCCAAGTGGAAGCCTGGAATGAAAAATTCATAACTGCTGGACTTTGCTTGTTCATTAGACATGAACTTGTCGATTGGGCAAATTGTTTTTGGAGTCCAACTGCCGGCGGGGGGGGGGGCGCTCTCCCCACCCTCCTGCTCGCCTGGCTCCCTCCTCCCCTTGCAAGCAGCCATTGGCTACTTGCGGAGATCTCTCAGCCAAATAGGTGGATCCTTCGCGCTCGCGCTCTCTCTCTCTCTCTCTCTCTTTCTCTCTCCCTCTCTCCCTCTCTCGTTCCCTCCCTCCCTCGCTCCCTCTCTCTCCCTCCCCCTCCCCTTTTTTTTACTGGCTTGGCACGAGCAAATGGATGGGGATTGAGCATGAAAGGGGAGAGAGAGAGGGAGTTTGAGAGAGAGAAAAGGAGCAACAAAACCCCCAAAAGCTGAGCACATACACTCGCGCGCGCGCACACACACATGCACCCTCACACACGCGCACACTCACACTCACACACACACACCCCATCCCATCCCATCCACGTCCTCCTTGGATCCTCGGTCTCTCCCTCCCCCTTCCCTCCCTCCCTCCCTCCCTCGCTCCCTCTCTCTTCTGCTCTCGTCTGCCAGCAACGGTCTACAGCCGGTCAGAACTCGTCCTTTTCCCCGGGAATCTGCGAGCTCCCCCTTTTCCTCCGATCTGGCGGAGGGAGCAGCTCGAAGTTTACACCCCTATGCCGCTGCCAAAGCCGAAAGCCTTTTTCTTCAGCTGCCGCTTTTTTCTCTCCTGGTTTTTGTTTTTGTTTTTGTTTTGCACGGGGGTGGGGCAGGGTGCGTTGTTGTGGGAAAGGGGGATGGTGGGAGGTTGGTTTTGATTTTTTAATTTTGCATATTTTTGTTTTCTTTTTTTTAAACTGGAAAAGGATGCACAGGGGGAAAAATTGAAAAAAAAATTTTTATGTTGGCTTTTGTTTACCTGGTGTGTGTGTGGCAACCAGTTCGCTCCCTCTCTCCGCTTGCTATCCCTGACCTTTCTTTCTTTTTGCTCCTTTTCAAAAAAAAATATTAATTTCCCCCTTCTGTGCAATGGAGCGTGGGGGGGGCGGAGGGGGAAGGGTTTGAGAATCCACCCAAGCCCGGCCCCTATTCCCCAGAACACCAATAATAACCCCCTTTAAAACATTTACCTTCCTCCCCTGCTCCTCCTCCGCCCCTCCCCCACCCGCCCCCAACTCACAACTCTGTTGAGTCCAGAATCTCAGAATCGAGCGTTGGGCTTGGCCGGGTGCTTCAGATCAATGGTAATTATTTAATTTTTTCCAGTTTTATTTTTGTAAACAGAAATCAATTATTTAACTTCAAAACAAGCAAAAAAAAAAAAAAAAAACCAAAAGCCGAGAGCCCACCCCTCTGTCACCTGAGTGGGAAAGAGGGTGAAGGGTTCGTGGGAGGCTGGGGAAGGGACAGCAAGCCGACCCGACCTGTGTAGCTTTAACCCTGATGTGGCCGAGACAACCACCTTGTTGGTGCTAACAAGAAGTGTTTTGTTCATTATTACTGTGATTAACATTAGTATTGGTGTGGATAACAAAGCTAAAATCACATATTTAGGATTTAGGTCTGATTAAAAAATGCTGGGGTGGATGTTCCAACTGTATCAGGAGAAAAGAAAATGAAAACAGCCTGAGGAGAGGGAATTCAGAGCTGGTTCCTTGACTGCTCATGGATGTCATCCTAGTCTTCGGGGGCAGCCAGAGTGGACCAGTGTCTGGACAGGGACAGGAGGCGGCCCTCGTGCCCCTTGTGAGCCTTCACGGGTGTCTGTGCAGGCGAACGCGCTGACACGAGTTCACGGCTGCGATCGAACATGGAGATGTCATGGGCGCAACAGAGCCTGGCGGGGAGACCAGCAGTGTGTGTGTGTGTGTGTGTGTGTGTGTGTGCGCGCGCGTGTGTGTGTGTGTGTATGTGGACGGCAGTGTTGTCTGTGTGCGCGCGTGTGTGTGAGCGTGTGTGAGCGTGTGTGAGTGTGTGTGTGAGGGAGAGAGAGAATAGGTGTGTGGACAGGCTCCTGGTGCCTCTGTCTGGCTGCTGAGGCTGAGATGGGAGCAAGCGGCTGGCGAAGCTGGTGGTGGCTTCAAACCACACTTTTGTAGAACAATCGCAAGAGAAAATTGTTGGGGGGAGGGAGGAGGAGAAGGCGGTTTTCTTCGTGCCCCCCCTTCTAACGCTGCTTTTCTCCTTCTCTCTTTCCCCCTCATCCCGTCTTCCCCTCCTCCCGTCCTCCCTCGCCCCGCATGCTCCCGGCTTGCCGCCTGCAGGATGAGTTCCACCCGTTCATTGAGGCGCTGCTGCCTCACGTCCGCGCCTTCTCCTATACCTGGTTCAACCTGCAGGCGCGAAAGCGCAAGTACTTCAAGAAGCATGAGAAACGGATGTCGAAGGATGAGGAGCGGGCGGTGAAGGACGAGCTGCTGGGCGAGAAGCCCGAGATCAAGCAGAAGTGGGCATCCCGGCTGCTGGCCAAGCTGCGCAAAGACATCCGGCCCGAGTTCCGCGAGGACTTTGTGCTGACCATCACCGGCAAGAAGCCCCCCTGCTGTGTGCTCTCCAACCCCGACCAGAAAGGCAAGATCCGGCGGATTGACTGCCTGCGCCAGGCTGACAAGGTGTGGCGGCTGGACCTGGTCATGGTGATTTTGTTTAAGGGGATCCCCCTGGAAAGTACTGATGGGGAGCGGCTCTACAAGTCGCCCCAGTGCTCGAACCCCGGCCTGTGCGTCCAGCCACATCACATTGGAGTCACAATCAAAGAACTGGATCTTTATCTGGCTTACTTTGTCCACACTCCGGGTAGGTCGCTCTCAGCCTTTCTCCCCCCCCCCACCCCCCATTTGATTTTCCTTGCTGGCATTTGTTCTATTTATTGTTCCTCTTATTGTAAAGGATAACATGCCGTGGGCCTAGCCAGTACGCCCGGCTGTCCGGCTGGGGCCTGCATCATACTCATCGCATTCAGTTTGATGTGCCTTTTCTCTCTTTCCTTCTTCTGTCTCCCTCTACCCTCTCTGTTCTCCCTTACTGGCTCCCTTGCCGTGGTACCCACTTTGCACATCTCCATCTTTGGAGGACTCTATGGTCCGAAAGACGCTGCAATCCTGAGGACTGGGCCAGGATGTTTCCATCCGTGATGGTGAGAGTTTGAGACTGGTAGAAAAATCAATCTTTACTCTCATTTGAAATGAGTCAGAGGGAGGATCAGAGAGCAGGTGCTAGCTTTCCTGAGGCTTCACCACAAGTCCCAGGAAAAGCCGGATTTGGCACCAGCCGGGTGGGCAGCAGTTCGGTGGAGAGAGAGGCATGTGAAATCCCCTCAGAGGAGACTGAACAAACAGAAAAGACAAGAGGAGGCAGCCAGCCGTGGGCAGGTTCTGGGCCCCAGATGCCTAGGCGGGAGCTGGGTTGCCTGGGATTGGGATTTGGAAAGCTTGAAAGTAATTTGATTTCAGAGAGAGGAAACAAGCAGGAGATCCCTTGGGCTTCTCCCCTCCTCACCTTGGTTGGCAGAAGTGGCGAGATCCCAGGATGCCGAGGCCCTAGGATGGGTACCTAGACCAAACCAGTCTACTGAAGACCGGGCCTAGTGCGAGCAGTTGCTGTGGAAGAGGTTTTAAGCAAACAAAACCTTTAAAACCTCCTTTTCCTTTTGTCTTCTAAGTAGTTTTACTTCTCAGCTTTGCTCTTCCAGACTTACCCAGCATTTTGGGTTGGTCTGGCTTAGTTCTTCTCCTTTGGTCCTTTTTATTTTTCCCCCTTCTCCTTTCCCTTTTTATAATTTCTTTCTGCTTTTGTTTTCTTACAAATTGAAACAGAGATGGCTGGTTAATTTTTAGCCTCCACTCAGCTACGCCCAATTTACTGCCGCCTTTGAAACCTAAACGGGCAGCACTCTGTGATTAAGCAAGGCAGAAGTGTTTACATTATGCCCAACCAACTTGTAATGAGAGGGCTACCAACCTTTCTCTCTGTGTGCGTGCGTGCGTGCGTGTGTGTGTGTGTGTGTGTTTCCCTTTCCACCATTCTAGTCTCCCCCCCATTTCCCTTCTTCCTTCTTTATGCGAATGTGAGAGAATGTGGCTTCTTGTCAACTCTCACAAATGTTCTTTCCTGTGAGTGTGTCTCTGTGTCTTCCTTCCTGTCCATTCACAAAAAAGAAAAGTGACTCACAACTACTGTGGTCACCCCCTTGCCCTTGGGGAAGTTGAAAGTGATACAACTGGACCCAGAAATAAAACCTGGAGGGGGGGAGTTGCTTTCACAGACATAATTTCTCTCTCTGCGAGGGAACACCAAAGGTGTGTATTGGAGAGCTCTAGGGAGGAAAAGTGGTATTTGAGGTCTCTCCTCATGTTCCTTCTCTCTCATTCTGTTTTAAGAGGTGGACACTGCTGCAGGGCCTGCTTACTCTCTGGCTCTTTCTGGGCCTGCGTCTGTGACTGTCATCACCCCTCATACAAAAGGACCAGGGACCACTCCTTCTTCCTCCCTCAGCTTGGATATTTTTTCCTTTCATCCTTTATCTTTTTGGAAGAGACTAAGAGGGAAAAGTTACCCTTCATTCTCTTGTCGGGAGGGTGTTCACTGGGGCTGTTGGAGGGGCCCAGGGACTGTTGGAGCCCAGAGCTTGCCAGGGTGTCCATCCGATAGCTCCCCAGAAGGGGATTCTGCACCTTCCGGTTTTAGAACTCAGAGTCCAAGAACATCTGCGACGAAAATCAATACTTACCTTCCTTCTTGGCAGGCTTCCTCCTCCCCCTCTGTCTGGACCCTGTATCTGAATGGCTTCCTTGGCCTCTTATTTTAGGCCAAATTCTTGACTGCTGCCAGTGTAGGGCTGAGGTAGGAAGAAGTGTGTGTGATGAAGGGAATCGTTTCCTGGCCAGCCTCCTGGGTCCTGGACTGACCAGGCAGGTGTCAGGGAAGCAATGTCCCCAACCCCCAGCTAATGAGATCACTCGCCCAGGAATATGAGTGAATTCATATCCTGGCTCATATGGCCAAGGCTACCTCTGTCCCGGCTGAGGCTGATTGCTGTACTGCTGAGGAGAGAACTGAGGAAATGCTTTCTATAGCTCAGGCACCAGACTCCACATAGTGTCACTGAGTGTAAGAATATTCTTGCTGGGATTGCTGGAATTTCAGTGTGCTTTTCCACAGAAAATGTGGGAGCATTGGCATGGCCCTATGCTTGCTCCTGTTTGGCACTGAGCAGAGGTCTTTCAGTGGCATTGTGCGGGCACAGCTTCCTCCAGAGCCATCTAGTTTGCTGGAAAATGTCTTCTGGCTGAGCCATCCCACGGCATTGATTCCTTGGCGTTGCCTTCTCAGAGCCCACTCCCTCTGGATGTCCCCAGTAGAGCAGCCTTTTCCCAGGATAAGTGGGGCAGGGGCTGGGGTGGCTGAAACTCAGGCAAGAGAGGCTTTGGGCTCTGACAGGGTTAGTTTTTCCTTCCTTAAAGTAAGGGCTGAAGAAGCTGGCCATAGTGGCATACCTGTAATCCCAGGACTCTGGGAGGCTAAGGCAGGAGGATCGCAAGTTCAAGCCCAGTGTGGGCAACTTGGCAGTTTATCAAGGCCTTGTCTCAAAATAAAAAGGTCTGAGGTGTAGCTCAGTGCAAAGGCACTGGGTTCACTTCTCAGTATTGCAAAACAAACAAGCAAACAAAAGAGAAACTAAAGAGTTAGGTCTGGGCTGAGGTGGTGGTGCTGGGCTTGATGATAGCCTGATCTGGTAGTGAATGTGGGGATGTGGCTTTGCTCCCAGCTGCCATTGTCACTCATAGCTCCCATGGGCCCTTGTTATGACCCAGGTAAGGGTTCAAGAGATGACACAGTTTAGAGGAATAAAAGATGTAGACGTATGGCTTTGAGAGCTCCACTCCCAGAATGTGGAGTCCTGACCGCCCGTCCAGGAAAGAATCTCACCTTGCATCTCTTTGCCTTAGGAAGGGAAGTTGAGTCAGGGCAGGGTCAAGAGAGTCCTGCCACAGACAGGGGGACATCCATTTCCTGGTGATGTCCTTCCATCCAAAAGCAGTGTCCCAGGGCAGGTGGCCTGGCACCGAGAGCGGTGAATGGGAGGCAGGGGCCTCCGCTTGTGTGATCCTGGGAAGACAAGCGTGCCTGGAAGCGATGCTAGACCATCTCCAGAGCTCCTGTGGACCTTCCCTGACCCTAGGCTCTGGTCCTGAGAAAGCCAGAAAAAACCAAAACTGATAAAATGTGTGGCTGAATGGAACTGTCAGCTTCTCCCTGTCAGTCCCTCCAGCGGGCCCACCATGGAAGCCCACCAAGCCTAGGTATTCTTGGGTAAAGGAAGGTAGCTTTTTCCTTTACCCAAGCATTTTAGGATGGGGAGCCCCTCCTGCCCATCACTGGTACCAGTAGTCCCCAACTCAGGACCAGTCTCCATTTGCCTGTCCCCCACCTCCCCAGCACTGGGTTATCTAGAAGAAATCCAGGCACCACAGCCTTTTGTCAATAAACGTTCCTGTGCACATCTCTGAAGATAAGGGCTCTTGACAAACTGAACCAAAATACCACTATCACACCCACAGAAGAGGCAACAATTTTCTTCTCTCCCTTCCTTTCTTTTTCTTTCTCCTTCCTTCCCTCCTTCCTCCCTCCCATCTTTCCCCTTCCCTCTTTTCTTTCCTTCCTTCCTTCTTGCCTGCCTGCTTGCAAGATGAGGTTTCTCCATAGACTCAGGCTGGCTTCACACTCCTGGGCACTAGTGACCCTTGTGCCTCACTCTCACGAGCAGCTGGGACTACAGATCTGCTCCACTGCTCCTGGCTGACAGTTTCTCTAGTACCATAAGATACAGTTTCCCTAGTAATCACCGAGCTTTGGCTTATAGTTTGTCTGAATCAGGACCCAGACAAGGCTGTTGATGCACTGGGATGCTTGGTCTATCTCTAGGTAGTGGTCATTGGCTTTGGCATTGTGGCTGCCGTTGTTGTCATCTTTCTCTTCCTCACTGTTGGTTTCTCTTCGGACAGTTTTTGTAGTTGCTGATACCGGGGAGCCAGGTCGTTTGTCCTGAGCTTTCCCTATCCAGCTCTGCAGGCTGTGCTACCCTGGGCATTGCAGTGTGCTGCCCTGAGTGGAGATTTTCCAGGGCTGGGGTAGCTGCACTTGGCCTTACCTGTCGCAGGAAATAGGTTAGCGCCTGGGAGTTTGTCTAGGGGATCTTTTTCAAGTGTGAGGTTGCTCTTCTGGTTTCAGCTCTCTGTGCCCAGACCAGGGTCTTTCTTGGCAGCAGGCGCCGTTTCTCAGGTCCAGGGGAGGGCTCTTTCGTTCATCCTTTCCCAGTGGTGGAGGGCATCATTTGGCTGCATCTGCCCTGCTAAAATGGGTGATGCCAGTAAGGCCTCCCAAGCCTCTGCTGGATGCCAGGCCCATCTGGTGTCTCTGGTGTGACACTGGTGTGCAGGAGAGGCCACAGGAGTGCAGCTACCCTCTCGTGGTCCCCCTACATGGACCCTGTGCCACTGTACCCATCCTCTCCTTTTTCAAGGTCCAGAAATACCACTGGTCTGTGTCTTTGAGGCAGCGCCATCTGGTGCCAGGGCTGGCAAAGACTGTAGAGCCTAGGAGCCCGATTGGTGAAATGAACAAAATGTATGGATTCTCTTTTAACCCAACGCCTGGTCCCCTTCAGAATGTCCTGGAAGCAATGTAGCTGCTCTTCAAAGGTCAGCACTGACGACTGTAACATTCTAGTGTCCCTCTAGCTCAGAGGATGGCTTTCAGGGTAGGGCCAGCCCAGAGGTACAGCCTAGCAGGTAGCA